AAAAAAAAAAAAGTGCAATTAAATTATTAATTATTCAGTTTCTTGTTTTCTACTTTTTTTTAAGGTTTTGCAACTCTAGTTTTACTATATTACAACTAAATAGCACTGATTTGGCTGTGTTTTAATATATGATTATTTTTATGCATTTTTACTCTGAGAGAAAAATATAGATGCATAATTATAGATATATACCTATATATATATTTACTAGGTTTTCTTTCTTTCTTTCTTTCTTTTTTTTTTTTTTTTTTTTTTTGTCGGAGCTAAGGACTGAACCCAGGGCCTTGCGCTTGCTAGGCAAGTGCTCTACCACTGAGCTAAATCCCCAACTTACTAGGTTTTCTTAATACATGATTTTTCTTACACAGATGACTTACAAGATGTAATAGAGAGAGCTGTCCAGATTGGTGTTAAAAAGGTAACATCTGAATTTTGTTCTTGTTGAATTTCTTTGTTTCTAAAATAAATTTTAGTTAACAGGCTGCAAAGGAAAAGAGAAAGAGCCAGTGGCACGCCCTTAGTGTGTGTTTCTCCACGTAAAATAAGCAAGTTAATAGACATAATCATTCTGTTTGCAGTTCTTCATGTTGCACAGTCCTCAGGTGTGTGGTCAGAAATGTGACAATGTCTGTGCTAGGAAAAAATTAAAGCTCTAACAAGTACTAGACTTAAAAGACAACCTTGAATAAATGTTATAATCTAACTTGGCATGTGTTAGAAACAGTCATCAAAAACACATGCACATGTTACCGTTCTTAGTTAGCTGTGGGTACACCATTAGAGAACTGAGAACATGCTTTAATTTTAATAGTTATAAAATTCTTTAGGTTTTTAGAGTTTTTTTATTGTTTAATTTACTTAATTATTTTATATCTCGACTGAAGTTTCCCCTCCCTCTTCTCCTCCCATTTCTCCCCCACCCCACCCCCATCCACTCCTCTAAAAGAAATTGAACATTAACTGGCTTATGTCAAATTCTCCAAGGTTTCTTTAAATTAGTGTACAAATGCCAGATTAGCCCACACATGTGAGATATAGTTATATTCCAGAGCGTAGTATCAATTCACTTTGTAACTATTGCCTCTGAGTTAAACGCTCTCAGTTCTAAAACATGGCACAACTAGTCAAATTCTGCAGTCTCCAGCCCAAGAGTGTATTGACTATTCAGAAGCAATGAGGGAGGAGCAAAGGCATTGAACTTCTCATCCTGTGTTCACTCCCTGGTGGTAATCATCTCATCTGATGTGTCCCTGCAATGCTGAGGTATCCCCATGGCAGCAGGAGTACTGTGCTCACTTCTGCTCAAGCACACACATGTGTGGAGATGGGCAGAAACAGCGGGACAGAGGCGGATTTCACTTGAACCTATGAGCTCCTTCCCAGCAGTTACGTTGTGTGGTGATTCAAAGCATGGTTTTGGCATCGCAGATGAGCCTTCCAGTCCTAGCTTCCTCCTTTCTAGCTCTGAAACTTGGAATAGTCTAGATTTCAGTTTTCTCATCCATAAACAAGGGGTGTTTTAAAGTATTTAAGACAGTTGTTATGTGGGTTAAAGAAAATACTGAGTATGAACGAGTCTTCATGAGGTATGTGGTAACATCACCACTGCCAGATCAGGAGCATTGTACATCATGGCCTAGGCTTGCCCTTCCTTTCATAGGCCATTTGGAGGAGGTATAGGTAATGTACGTAGATTTGGTTAGAAACTCTTCTACAGTTTTGTATGTGGCCAGGTGGTCTAAGTTTAAAGAATTAGGAAAGATTAGTAAAGAACAGTTTTCCGGATATCTTAAAAATGTTCTTAACTCCTATGTTCTATGGGCAGCTGAGATTTTAGTTGTGACCGTGTGTTCCCTGTATGGAGGCTCGGTGGCTGGTCACTCTAGAAGTTTAAGTGGCTGTCTGACAGTATCTGTTTTTCATATGCAATTCCACCTTTGTTTTGTGGGCAGTCTCTTTGGTGTGCACCTACAATGAATTCCTTACTTTAACTTAGAGACACTTTACAATGTTTTAAAAAATAGGTCATCAGTGTCCTTAAATCACCCTTTACAAAACTGTACCTTAAAGAGCACTGCCTTGGTAGTCACCTTTGACACTGGGCTCTAATTATGTCTGACAGACTAGCAAAGATGGCATCCTAACCATCAAATGACTCCAATGGCTGTCTGAAGTATGCTGATTTCTCAAGAGCCATGAATTCATTTTACAGAGATTCGTCACTACATCAGTGTCACAGTTTTTGGTCTTAGAAACCCTCTACTTTCTAATGACAGACCCTCTAAAAAGCTTTTGTGTGGGTTGTATGTATTATATATATTAGGAATTAAAGCAGAAATATTTTAACTCATTTTAGGATATGATAAACTATAACATAAACAGTATATTTTAATGGAAAATACCTATTTTCTAAACAAACCTTAGCAGCAAGGGATTGTGTCACATTGTGTCGTCATGAATGACTAAGGAGAGTGCTGCATTTGCATGTCTTTTCTGGGGTCAGTCTGTTGTGATATTATACGTCAGGTAGTATCTGGGTGACCTTCCTGAACACTTGAGATTGAATGAGACTGAAAAAGAAGAGAAGCCGATTATATTCTTAGAAAAGTAGTTTTGACCTCCTGGGAGTTTCCAGCCAATACTGGAGACCTGTTAAATTAATCAACACTATTCATTTACTGATTGACATGATCATTGATTTCAGTGAACAGAATTTTGAATTTACAGGTCTTTAGCTATTCTGTCTTCTATAACATATAAATCATGTCCTCAAGAGACGTGGGGTCTAATAGAGATAAACATGTGGATGCACATTACTATTTAACACGGGCATCCTGTGGGAGGGTGTGTGTGGACAGGAGTTGGGTAGCACTCTGTGTAGAGATGATCTTCCCTGTGAACAGTAAAGGAGGGAGGGTGTGAGGAGGGAGGGTGTGAGGAGGGAGGGTGTAAGTAAGGAGGGTGTAAGGAGGGCGGGGGTGATGCGCCCTCAGTGAATGGTGGCCGTCTGGGGACAGTTGCTGATGGCCTGTAGAAGTCAGCCTCTTCCCTTCTTCCCATTTCAGTTTATGATCACAGGTGGAAGTCTACAGGACAGCAGAGACGCGCTGCAGTTGGCACAGACAAATGGTACCTCTCATTACTTTTACCAAAGCAAATGTGAATTAATTAATTATGAAGAAGTCTTTCTGAGAACTGCCTAAGGTACAGATACAGTGCATCCTGACTGTAGAAATGACAGGAAAATAGATTGATTTCAGTGGAACATGGTTACGATAACAAAGTTTAGAGTACCCTTCGGTGTATGAGATGTTTGATAAAACATTGTAGTACTTAACAAAGATTATTATTTCAGTAAATAAGGGTAGTTACCCACACACATAATTTATATTCAAGTAATTCTGATATAGAATTTAGGTGCATATTTTAATGTTTGGTATGAATTGTTTTTCTTTAAAATCTCTTAAATTGTAAAGGACCGTTGTTATTGACCATTTATTTTGTGAATCCGACTTTGTGTAAGGCCCCAGGAGTTTAAGTAATAATATAATACACCACTCTTAGGGCTGGAGAGATGACTTGGCAGTTAAGAGCACTTGCTGCTCTTGCAGAGGACTCGAGTTCTGTGCCCAGCAAGGGGCAGCTGCCCACAAGGCGCCGCAGCCCAGGGGATGAGGCATCCTCTTCTGCTCTCCATGGGCACTCCTCAGCACACACACACTAACAAAATTAAAATGTGCTGCTCTCCGAGTGCTCACTTCATGCTCATACTTTCCTACTTAAAATCTTAAAAGCTTAGCTGGCATCCCTATAACTGTTTTTGCACGTATACTTTACTAGAAACCTAGAGATTAGGCATTCTACACAATTTTTTCAAAATGCAGCTGTGTTTCTTTTATGTATAAAATCTTATCAAAAGCTGTTTTTTTAATAGAAATCTTTATAAAAATGCATGCTTGTCTTCAGGCTGTATTGACTCTCAATGTTAAAAACATGAAAACAATCATCTTCCGAGGACTTTCTGAAGTATGGAGGAAGATTTTCTTCCATGCTTTGCATTCCGGAACAGCTATGGTTTTAAAATTCTTCTCCCATCTTTATTCTTGTCCTTCCTCTCACTCTTTGAAGAGATGTCTCCTGCCTCCTGTTTGTTACCCGTGGGAGAGCCCGAGGAAGGCTCTGCACCCTTCCATGGGTGCAGCTGCAAGTTCCCATTGAATTTCTAAGGCAAACAAAACTGGGCCTGTCAGGTTAGACCCCGCCCGGGGCACTGTGCATCGCGCATGTGATCGATGGCCAAGCACTCCACCTGAGCCCTTCTCCCAGCCCTGGTCACCAGACTTCTGGTCTGTGTTCCTTACTATCGAAGCTGCTAAAATCTGGCCTCCAAATAGTGCGCTTTGTTTTTTATTAGTGAATGAAACCTCCCCTCCCACTGCTGAAGTCACTCCTGCAGGTGCCCACAGAGGCCAAAGATGCCAGCTCCCCGTGGAGCTGGAGTGCAGGCAGTTGTGAGCTGTCTGAGCAGACAGGAACCAAGCTCTAGTCCTCTGCAGGAGCAGTGGGCACTTTTAAACACCTCCATCTCTGCTGTCAGCCTCTGCCAGGGAGGACGTGGTGGTGGTTTTATTAAACACGTGAATTGTGAAGTCAGATAAACAGTAAATAGCAAAGATAAAACTGGGTGCTTGCTTTGGCAGCACGTGCAGCACATACACTAAAATTGGAAACGATACAGAGAAGATTAGCATGGCCCCTGCGCAAGGATGCCACGCAAATTCCTAAAGCGTTCCATATTAAAAAAATAAATAAATATAAATAAAATTAGATGATGATATTTTAAGAGATCATTTCACTTTCCATTCTCAGATGCTTGGTAAATGACCAGCTTTGGAGAGAGTTGAATTGATAACTTTTATATGCACATCTCACTTTTAACATATTTAGAAATTCTTGTTTGATTAATGTACATAATTCTGGAAGCTTGAATTGCTTATAGCTATCAAACATAAGTTGGAATTACCTTTTCCTCTCATTTTTATATGTTAGCTATTAACACAAACAATACTCTGAAAATAACCCTGAGATGTGGCTTTCTGTTAGACATGTTTTTCAGTACAGTTGGGTGTCATCCCACGAGATGTGATGAGTTTGACAAGAACGACCCTGACGGTTACTTGGCGGGATTGCTGAACCTTGCCGAGAAGAACAAGGGGAAGGTTGTAGCAGTAGGGGAGTGTGGACTTGGTGAGTGCCAACCCCCACACTTGGCGTCCTGTTGAAAAGAACTGCTTGTTATGTCCAGATCCTGAATAACTTGGATCATTCTTCCTCTTTTAAAGATTTTGACCGGCTGCACTTTTGCCCCAAAGAAACTCAGCTCAAGTAAGGAAATTCGTTGATTTTAAAAATGGTTGAAAACTCCTAAGAATGGTTTTTATTTTTTTCAAAGTAACATCAATTGAACATTTAGGGTTAGCTATCAAGGTGTGTTTGCTTTCCCTGGCATATATCAAAAGTTAAGTGAAACAAAGTCCACACATCTTTGCATGTGATTAATCATCTCCAACCGATTAACCACAGATTTGATTTGAAAGGTAAAGCAAAGGGATGCATTTTATATCATACAGGCCTTTTGGCAGTGGTGGCAAGAGATATATTTATACACAAACCACCTACCCTTGGTCCACTGTTTCTTATGTATGAAGGCAATCTAGATCAAATTACCTCTTAATAAATTTTGTCATCTGATTGGGGAGGGGGGCATCTGTGACAGCTGATGTGGTGACCTGAGGGACTTCTCACATTATACCTTCCAGGAATGTTAGAGATGCTATGAGGTCTGTCTCTTGAACACCATGTAATCAGTTCATCTAAACCTGAAAAGTCAGATTCACACTGGGACCGAAGTCGGTTGCTTTACCAGCTTCTCAGGCCATCCCTCCACTTCAGTGTCTGTCTGGGCCACAGACTGTATCATGAAAAGTGCTGCAGCAGAGTCCCACAGGATATCTTGCCCATATGGTTTTTCTTCTAGAATGAGTTCAGAGTGATTCCCATATGCCACCTAAATACTGCAGACCAGATTTTGATTCCATGGAAGTATTGATAGTGTGGGTTCTATTTACTTCTCTGAAGATAAACTTCCATCAGCAGTCAGTGTTAGAACTTAGTATGTGTAACAGGGTATATATAATTAAGCTGTCACATATGTTCAAGTGTCTGTACTAGAGTGGACCTCAGTCTAGTTTGTAAATGACTGCTGAGTACCTCTTCAGCGTGTTAAGACTAAGGCTTGATTCTTTGGCCTTTAGAGACAAGAGAGCCCATAAATAATTGTAGTAGGCTAGTAAGTGCTGACAGGAAGGTGTATCCACTTGAGGACTTGTGTTCAATTCCTACCACCACCACTAAAAACAACAAAGTGTATGGATAAGAGATGGATGGACAGCCCTTTTAGGGGAATCTGGGATGTCTTTGCTAAGATGACAACATGATATAGGTCTCTTCAAAAAAGGATAGGCTGAGGACAAACTAAAGCGAAAATATTTATTAAGATCACTTGGCAGTTTTTAACCTGAGATTTAAAAATGTCTGTAGAAGTAATAATCTCGTTTGGATTGTTGTCAAGGAGACAGATGCCCCAGGACATCTTGCCCTCCACTGGCATAGGCTGACCTCTTCTGTGTCCATCCATTTCAGTATACTTACCTAAGTACGTTGAAGCTACATGGCAGACTAGTGTCTTCCAGCTTGTCGAAGGCATAGAGCAGGTCTGCTCATGTAGTCCCTTGGTGTCTAGTTAAGGAAGGAGGCACTCTGTTTCCTATATGGATAGAAGGGCTGCAATTAGAGTTTTGCTGTTGAACTTACTGTTGGAAGAATTTGGATCTTGATCTGTACTTTGTGTACACGTGTGTGTACATGCATACACACATGTGTGTGCATGTGGAGGCCAGATGTTGGTCCTGGTGTCATTCCTCAGGAGCTGTCCATCTTATTTTTTGAGACAGAGTTCCTAACTGGGACCTGGGACTCTTCTGTTACATGGTTGCTGGATATCAAGCTCAGGAACACATGAGTGCATGGTAAACACTCTCCCTGCCAAGCCACCTCCCCAGCCCCTTGACCTATGCTCTTTTTCCTTTCTTTTCCTTTTTCTCTCCCTCCCTCCGCTCCTCCGGAATTTTTTTTTTCTTTCTTTGAGACAAGGTCTCCCTATAGCCTAGTTGACCTGGAACTCACTATGTAGACTCACTGAAATCCTGCTTCTGCTTCCTGAGTGCTGGGATTAAAGGCATGCACCACCACACCTGACTGTTTTTGTAGCGTGTGAAATATTAACCTAGTATGTGATTTGTTGGTTTTATAGAAACCATTTTTTTCCTTTTAAAAAGTACAATCAGTATTGTGTGTGAGAAATAGTAAGTAGATGCACCTGTAATGGGGTTGAAGTCTACTGTCTTCAATGAGCAGGCTGAGGTGTGGTTTAGTCTTGCTATTCCCTGGCTGTCCATTCCTTTACACACATCAGTGCCCTCATTGTTAGCATGAGGGTGCCACTGTCCATCCTTCTCAATATATGACGGGTAAAGCCCACAGTGCATGCCTGGACAGACTGAGACTGAGTACTCAATAATTACAGCTTCTAAAGGAAAATACGAGCTGTGCCTTTTGCTGGGGGTTTCTGAGAAGTGCTTTAAAAAATGCTATCACTGTGTCCATGTATGTGCATAAGGAAGTTAGAAGAGGGCGTCAGATCCCCTGCAGCTGCAGTTATAGATGGTGAGAATCAACCATCATGGCTTGCTGGGAACTGAACCCAGCTCCTCTGCAAGAGCAGCCTGCGCTCTTAACCACTGAACTATCCATCTCTCTAGCCTTGGAACACGCTTTTCTAAAGACCAAGAAGGTGAAGCA